CGCCGGGAGCCTGCGGGCCCTGCCGGCCCGGGGCCAGCGCGGGGCGCGTGGGCAGCTGGGCGCGGTGGGGGTCACTGCGTGTGAAATGGGGAGACCCTGGAGGGACCGGCGGAGCGCCCAGGGGTGGCTCGGCGGCCGTTAGGTGAATCCCAGCAAGAAGTAGCTCTCGAAATCCGAAGCCGGGAGTGGAGCCATGGCCTAAGTGGTAGAACCTGGGACCGTGCCCAGGCCCTGAGTTCGAGCCCCAACACCGGCCTAAAAACAAGTTATTCACAGTTCCAGGTGGAAGAGAAATTCTTTGAAACACGATCATCTAAGGACCTGCCGTCGAAGCGACACATAAGGATTTTGGAGTGACCTTTATTATAACTATCCTCAATGAAGTGAAGCATGTTGTCCATGGATGGAAAGCTGGACACAAATAGAGAATGTCAACAGATAAGAACTTGACGGTCATTCTGCTACTGAAAATTACACTTTCAGAAATAGTTCATTGGGCAGTTTTAACAGCTGAGACAAATTACAGAGAAAGAAGTAAGGGAAGGATGCTATCTAAGGTGAACAACAAAGTAAAAATAATTTGGGGGGAGAATCCTTGGAGATGTGCTACGTGATCTTAAGCAATGCATGTTAATAACAGAAAAAGAAAAGAATGGGTTAGAAAAAATAGTGAACAAAATGTTACCAAATTTGATGACGAAATCCAGTATCACAAATTTTTAGAAGAGTAATTCATAAGAGCTTGTGCTACTTCAAACTGTTGAAAAACAGCCTTGAATGCATTAAAAGGCACAAAAGGAAAAGTCACACATTAGGACTTATAAACTGCCCTAGAAAATATGTTGGATTTCAATTAAATCATTAACTTTAGCTTTTACAAAGTAGCTACAATCCCACAAAGAAATAAATAGTGCCAAAATAACCAGGTTCCTTAAAGCACTGAACACTGGCATTAAAGTAATTAGAAAAGAATAGATCTGTCTTTCTGACTCCTAAAGATCTAAATCCATTCAGATGATGTTATTTATAGAAGCAGTAGCATTATGTTCCTAAGGGGAATAGAAAGGAAACTATAAACCAGTTTTTTTTTTTTTAAAAAAAAGGTCTAAGAAAATTAGATACTGTGTGAACAAGGCTCAAAACATCTTTAAGAGAAGACTGTCAGATTAAGTAAAAGAGTTGGGACAAAAAGCAAAGCCCAAAAGGATGAAAAAAGTGAAAGACCCCAGACTCCTGGGATACTTTCGTCAACGGGAGGGCACCCCAGAAAACTCAGACTCCAGGCCTGGAGATGCAATAAGCAAGAGTTTATTTGACGTTTGCGCAAACGGACTCCCTGCCCCGGGTGGTCAGGGAGCCCCGAGCGGTTACAAGCCCTTTTTAAAGGCAAAAACCACGAGATTAACGCATAACACAAAGCATCCCATGATTGGCCCATTTAAAGGTCACCATATACACCAACAATCACTTTGCCACGTGGGAAATTTTGTAACACTCTTTGTAAAATGACTGGCCCATGGTTGGTTTAAGGGGGATTTATGAGATTACAGGCCTATGATTGGTTGACATTTGGCTTAGCTTGTGGTCTTGCCAGGTGGTGGTTATCTCAAGGTCCTGTCTGGGGAATTTCTAAATGGGAACTGAGGAATACTTACTGTCTGTTCTTTATCTAGTACCACTGACCTTGTCCTGAGGCCGGCATCTGGTCCCTGAAACTTCTTTTCTGGGAAAGGAAGGGTCAGTGCCAGTGTAAGCAAGTTTACAGAAGCAGAATCAGCAGTTAGCAAATTGTAAAATGGACGCAGCTCTAATTTTTCTAAGTCTTTAAAAAGAATTTTTAAAAGGCTTTAACAGTGTTTTAGACAAGCTAAAAACTACAGGCTAGCTTTCTAGATCAGCTTTTCATTAAATATTCATATATGTCGCTATGCATTTGTACACAAACCACACGGCTTCCTATTATTTTAAAAATAGCTTAGATATTTATTCTAGTAAAATACTTAGGAATCTATATTGTTTTATCATTCACATGCATTAACACATATAAAGCAATCACTGTGGTGTAGAGAACTACTTGGAATAGTCCAGATGATGTTCTTTCCACTATTCCCATAAATTTCAAGTGCTTTCTAAGAAATCAGGAAATAATATATTTGATTTTAAAAGGAATGTTTACATTTAGAACAAACAACACAAAGATGTTATGGAGAACACTGTGTTATCCAAGATTATAATAAAAAGTAAATAGTTGGGCAGGAATACTGTTCATTTGGAAAGATTTAATATTGTAAAGATGGCAGTCTCAACCTAACTGGTCTATAGATTTTAACAATCCCAATCAAAATTCCAATTGAGATTCTCCTAATATTTGATAAAGCTACTTCTGAAATGTAGGCATAAAGGTCCAGAAACAAGACCAAATGGAAGGTGTCGCGACCGCCTCGACCCGCAAGGATGACGCGACAACAGGTCCTTCTTTCAGACGGTTTATTCAGGACCTTATTTACAGCTTCTTTTCTCCTACTTCTCTCCTGCCCGCTTCTTCCTTCTTCTTCCTGCTTCTCCTTGTTTCTCCTTCCCATCCGCCCCCGCACTCCGGTTATAAGCCTCCTGGATGGCCAATCCTGAAGCGCCATGTGGCATATACTGATAGGGCTGCAAACACAGAAGCAAACTAGGAGCCAGGTCATAGCCATATAAGGAGTTGTTTTTTACAGAGAGCACTCGTCACGAGGAAGACGGAAGGTGGGAGCCCGCGCCATCTTAGGTCGCAGCCGCACCACGCGGCCCTGCCATTTTTGCTTTTGCAGCCGTCTTTGGTCGCGGCTCCCGCAGCTCTCCACAGGAAGGGACTTTTATGCACATCTGCAATTAAAAGTGATAAGGCCAAGTGTTGTGCCACATGTCTATAATCCTAGCACTCAAAGCAAAAGCAAGAACTCAAGGTCAAATGTGGCCTATTCAGCAAAATTGTTTTTGGAGAGGTGTGGGGTGGGAAAAGGGGAGGGAGGATAGGAGAGGGTAGGAAAGGGAGAGAAGAAGAGAATGAGAATGTGGTATATTGGTACAGGAATAGCTGAATAAACAGAACAAAATAGTGAAGGAACAGAGCAGTGCAGATGTGGACAGAAGTGAAGTTGCAGATGTGGGAAGAGGAAGGATAATTCAAAAATTGCAGAGGCAAAAGCGAATACTTTAAAATTTTTAGTAAAATATATATACAAAAGAGTATTTTGTGATTACAATATAGATTACTTTCTTCAAAAAGACCCTAAAACAATGCTTGACAAATTTCATTATAGTTTAAGTATTTCTGACACAACAAAGAAGGCATAGTGAAAAGATAAGGCTTGCACCTGTAATACTAGCTCCTGAGATCTAAGACTTAGGGACTGAGATTCTAAGATGCCCAGGCAGACAAATCCTAGAGACACTTACCTCTAATGAGCCAGCAAAATGAAGTAGAGGTATGGTTCAAGTGGTAAAGAAAATTAAAAAAGACTTAGGAGAGTGTGAAGCCCTGAAACGGGGGCTGTGTGGAATGACAAGATACCTAGAATATATACAGAAGTCCTCAAAACTAGTTAGGAAATAACAAGACTTTAAAACTTGCACCTGAAAACATTAGTCCCTGAGATTAGTGGCGGAATGCTTGACCCGCAAGTGTGGTGCTCTGAGTTCAATGCCCAGTAATAAATACATAAATAAATTTCCCCAAGAATATCTCTGAAGTTGTTTTCACCTTGTAAGACTGAAACTCTATACCTATTTAATAACTGCCCACTTAATTTCAACTCCATGCAGCCACTAATTTCTATAAGTTACACAGTATTTTGTCTTTTTGTGACTAGCTTATTTCACTTATTATAATCTCCCCAAGCCTGAAATATTGGAAACATGTGAAAACATCCTCTATAATATATCTTAGTAGGCATTTACTACAATTTGAATGGATATTCATTGTCTTATAGGTTGCTCTGCCTTTCAGCTGTTGTGAACAATGCTGTTTTGTATATAGGGATACAAATACCTGAGTTTTCGGGGGTAGGGAGAGAGGGGAGTTGGTGTTGTATACTCAAGAGTGAAATGCTGGATCACACAATAATTCTATTTTATTTCTTAAGGAAATTGTTATGCTATTTTCCACAGCAGCTCTATGTCTTAACAGTCACAGCACCAGTACACAAGTTCCAACTTTTCCAAATCCTTACTACAGTTTGTTATTTTCTGTTTTGGTCTTTGGTTTTTGCTGGTAGCATTTCTACTGGGGATAAGGCATTATTGTAGTCTTGATATTCATTGCCCTAATGATTAATGGTGGTGATAAACTTTCCATGTGCTTATAGAGACTTGCATTATATTTCTTGGGAGAAACATTAAAAGTTCTTTGCCCCTTTTCAAGAAATGATTGTATATAAAAATCATACATTTTCCATCTTTCCTTCAACTATCCCTATAGTGTCCAGCCATGTTCTATTCATTGCAGTTTCCCAAAGTTTGTGCAGTTGCATTTTAAGTAGTTGCTGTACTTTCTAGAATGTTTCGGCTTCTGAAAAAGGCATGTGTTTCCTCCCCCTATTGGCTGCTAGAGCCATAGAAACCTCGAGAATTTTCCCTGCAAGAAGCCTTCTGCCCATCTTGGAGGTCCTACTCCTGCCACAGCTAGATTTAGTGTCAGTGTCAAAGAGGTTCTCATGTCTCCTGTGCTGTTACAGTGTTGGTGGAGGAGGGCAGACAGGAGAGCAGGTTCCCACTTCCAATATCATGTGGGAACTTGGGACAGTCTAATGGCAGTAGAGAATGAGACCAGTTTTTAGTCAGCCAGTTTCCCTGGCAGAACACTTTAAGCAAAAGGTATTTAAACAATATAATTGACTTTATTTTTTAATTAGGTTTTACAAATTAACTCACAACACTAATTCTATGGGGAAGAAAATCAAGATTCACATCACTAATTTGTGATCAACTCATGCAATGAGTCTGTGAGTAAAATAGGGACTTTTCCCAAGCTCTCCCCTCCTCCCTTCCCAGGCCTACCCTTCTCCCACATGTGGTCCTCTTCTGTCACATAACTGGCCACGACCTTAATATTCTTGGTGACTAATTAGCATTCTAAATTGACTAAGTTTCAAACAGGTATCTTTCAGGAAACTCTGGATCTCGTCCACATAGCAGGGGGTAGTTCTTTCAGAAAAACTCTGGGGAGCTGATTTCATTGTATTATTAGAGGCCACGCAGGGCCAAGCACCCATAGTTTTAAATACTTCACTGTAAAAAAAAATGAGCTTAGAAAAGATGCAAAGTTAAGATAACTGGAGGAAGACTACACAAAAGTGGGTTCCTACATTGAAACTTCTGCTTGCTGAAAGATGAACAAATGATGAATATGAAC